TATATATATATATATATATATATAAGTGTGTATACATGTACATATATATATATACATACGTGTGTGTGTGTTTGACCAGAATTCTAAATCATGATCTTATCTAGGGGGGAGACGCGAGTGTTGAAAGATGCTTCTTCTATTTTGTTTTTGTTAATATGAATATTTTTTTTATGTTTTATCAAAAAAGAATATTTTTTTATGTCAAGCATGTTATATCATCATATGCAAAATACACACACACGTGTATGTATATATACACACACACACGCGTGTATGTATATATACACACACATGGCATACATTCACATAAAAGCAGCGCATGTCATGTATGACTTCTGCATGCGCGCTTACGGTAAGTATTTGTATAATTCTTAAATTTCCTTCTAATAATTATCAAAGTTAAGGGTACTTTTGTTATAACATATTGAACTCGCAAGGCTATGATTTTGTAATTGCGGAGAAATCTTGAATTAGGGTTAATTAGTGCATGCATGGATTATCACAACTACGGGTATCGGATTTTAAATTCGTTAGAATTATATCTCATAATAATAATAATAATAATAATAATAATAATAATAATAATAATAATATATAACCCTAGAAAACGATGTGACCTAATTAGATCGATGGAATCTTTGCAATGAAAGGCAACGTTAAGACGAATGTGAAAGACCTCATTGGAACTTAAACCCTCCCTCTGTCGGGTTCTGTCTTGTCCTTGGTGTGTAACAATTTATTTTACACTCTCTATTTAATAGAAAAAACAAAAAATAATTACATTTAAAAAAAAGAATATTCCCTTCCAAACTAGACTATTAACAATCCAAACATCTCACATCAATAGGGTGAGTGAGGCGACAAAAATTACGACAGAAATTATTATGTATGTAAAACACACACATACATACATATATACACACACACACATATATATAGTATATATATTGTGTATATATAGTGTGTATATATATTGTGTGGAAAAAGGCTGGGCAGACCATGTGGGTTTGGGTCACAAGAGCAACCCCATCTGGAATGATTGTTCAAATATCATAATCGAACTTTTAATTTTTTCTCTTTTAAACAATTATAACGGAATAATACGTAATACTAAAAACATATAAAAAGATCAAATAAATATAATATTTTAGAATGAAATAAATTGAAAGTTTCGATTTAAAATATTTTTTTAAAAAAATAATGTTTTAATTAATAAAAATCGAAAGAATTGAAAATGAATAAAATAATAATAGATATAATTTTTTTCAAGTAGACCTTTTTGTGTCTATCCGCACAAACATGTTGTGATTTAATCAAAGGTGCTTTGGGCCTAAGTTTATTAGAGATCAATTAAACAGTTAATCACAAAGTATTTTTATATATTTGATATTTTACTTAGTTTGGTGGATAATGACTTTCACTAAATTCCACTTTTGTCTCGAGATGATTTACAACACAATGGCTCTAATTAGGCTCTAAACCATTATGTTTTATGCGAATGGGCCATGGAATCTCATTAGCTTTTTCCATCACCAAACCTACCCACAACCCTCCTTTTTCCATATTGAGGCCCAACACTTGAAACTTTGTCTTTAATCTCTTATATTTTAATATCCAATTAAATTTATTTAACGCAGGACAGCTATTATATTGTCTGCATCTGTGCTGTTTCAATTGAGCCCTATATATATATATATATATATATATATTTTTTATAAATTTTTCCATTTTTATTGAGATTTCTTTTCTGACCTGTTTTAATTTTATTAAGAATGTAAGAATCAAGTTTTTTTATAATTCAAAAATTTATACATTTAGTCCAATTACATCTTCTATAACAACAAAAAAATTTAGATAAATTTTCTTCTTACGTTTGGATTTAAACTCGTGGTAAAAATATATTTTATATGTTATCTGTATCATTAGACCTGCTCAAACTCGGGTTACAGTCATGTTGTGAAATACAATAAATTTAGAATGAGCAAGTCTTTCAAGAGATCAGTTTCGATATAAAATATCCCATCGATGGAATTGAATTTAGTCCAATCATTCTATTATATAACAGTGTTTTATTGCATGATTTTATTTACTCTATTTGACCATAGTGTAAAAATACATGAATTTGGATAAAATCATAAATAATTTTTACCATGATTAATAATAAAGCAATGGCATCTGAATTTAAACAATTTATACTATTATTTTAAATAATTTATTCATAAATACGTTAACACGTAATTTACAGTAGTAACGATGATAACAGAATTTTTTTTTAAGAATTCTTTGGTAATTGAATATTTTAATTAAAATTGTACATGGTTCGTTTTTAGCTATTTTTAGTTATTACGCAAAAGTAAAGGTGTTCCAATGTTCGTAAACACTTCTGAAATGAGACTTTGTCTGTGCATAATGTTACACTGCATTCAAACATGTCTTGCTTTAGCAAAAGCATTTATATTATCAAAAAACGATAAGCAGATGCATACGTGTCGACATATCATTGGTCGGAGAGAAGGATTTGGCGGGATAAAGGACTGGTCAAAGTTGCTTATAAATAGGGGAGTGGGATTAGGGTTTCGATGAGCACTCGATTCGGTGTTCTGCCCTCCTCCGGCCATGGCTTCTGAGAAAGAGGCGGCTCTCGTCGCGACTCCTTCTGATTCTACCATGTAAGTGTTCTTCTCGGTTCGTTTGTTTTGATATGTTCATCCTTGGGTCGTCGATAATCTGCGGTAGCTCTGATTTGGTTAGAATTTTTAACGGAAGAGGCAGTGGACGATTTCTGTTTTTGTCTATCCGTATCACGTTGTTGATTATCTCCGGGGTGTTATGTTGAAAAATGTCGTGATCATCGGGATGAATTGTTTTTCGTCACCGTTCTTGAAATGTGGAGTTTCTTGCTGGGCGGTCTACGTTTTTTTCCAGCCAAAACTATGTAATTGTTGTTGTCTCTCGTTGAAATATCACAGGCGGTAATGAGTTTTTTTTGGAAGGACTAGTTTAATCTGTTCGGACGAAACAATCTGGTTACCTTTAAAATTTTATAGTAATAATGTTTTCCAGATATTATGTTCTGTGATTTTTCAATCCATGAGGATGGATGGAGCTGTGCCTCGTCTTAGCAATGTAATGACGGATGAATATACAACATTTTCAGACGGAATGGTGGAACTACAGTCGTTCGTTCTTTAATGGAATAGATTAGAAGTTGTTGGTTTGTAGCGTGGAGCAGTGGAATTATTGTTGTTCTTTGAATGAATATGGAAATTCTAGATGCTTTTTAGATAGAATTGCATATGTTTCCTTTATTTGAGACATTAATGTATTGTAATCGTTTGTATTTCCTGGAGTAGTTGAATTGGGCCGTTGTGCTGATCTACTAGATTGATGCTGACATGTATGTATTTTATGCTTCGATCAGATTTGACAAGATCATCAACAAAGAAATACCTTCTACGGTGGTTTATGAGGATGACAAGGTATGATAATGACAGGCAGTGATGTATTTCTCTATCCAATCTTTCAGATTTCTGCTCATGAAACTGAAACATCCGTATCTACGTACCCATCTCCGGATCAAACACCCTCTCCGTAGTGATACTATAGATTTTCTTGATCTGTGTCCAATTTGTGCATTTTGAGAAAGGGACATACGGATTTTTATTTCGTGAATTCCATTTTATGAGGCGGGTTCTGCTTGACTTTATATAGTTTGTTGATGTGGTGCTTTTGCTGTGCATTTGGCTCATCAATGCTCGCTCATTCTTATTGCACTGTGAGGATTTATGAAGGACCATCAGTAGACTGCGTTAAAGTATTCTGTTTTTATCTAAGATTTCTCATGTGGTTCCCCGATTTTTGGACAGTAGGTCTTACTTTAACCGGAAACGTGGAGAGTATTGACTGTATATTTTTTCCAGGGTTTCTATTTTCTAGCTTAAAATGCCAGCATTGCCTTCCTAGATGGATTTGATATTTCTCTATGATGATTTTTTGTTAGTTTTTGTGCATGCTTCATTACGTCTTTCCTAACTTGCTGTTTACATTTCATTCTATGATTTTGCAGGTCTTGGCATTTAAAGACATAGAACCCCAGGCTCCCGTACATATCCTCCTTATTCCCAAAGTGAAGGATGGCTTATCTGGTCTCTCTAAGGTAGTTTATTCGTGCATCATATCTTGCGTGTTGCAAGGCTCTCATTTCTCTAGAACAAGGTTTATGCTGGTCATTACACAGAATTTCCTAGCAACATTCGAAAGCTAGCCAATATGAAAATAAAGTAAAAAGTGCTGAACAATATTAGACATGACATGAGAAACTCAAGGACTAACTTCACTCAGATAATATGTTCTCTTATTTATCATTTTTCTCATATCGTGGATTGTCCTGCTACCGCAGGCTGAGGAGAGGCACATTGACATCTTGGGCCGTCTTCTATACGCTGCCAATCTCGTGGCAAAGCAAGAAGGCCTGGATGATGGCTTCAGGATTGTGATTAACGATGGACCCAACGGATGTATGTATTAGTTTTTCTCTCAATAGGACAATAACATTCCCCACTTAAAACACAGACATAATATATGGACCTCATACTCATCATTGAGTTCTTGTGTTGTAGGTCAATCGGTGTACCATATCCATGTCCATGTCCTTGGAGGCCGCCAGATGAACTGGCCACCTGGCTAAGGCAATCTGAACGACAATTGTCCTTGTTAAGAGGACTGACAAGTAGTATCCATGTTTTGCCTGTCCCCTAGTGGCTATATGAATAAAAGCTCAGACAAAACCCATTATTGTTATGAGAACTTTATTTATGTGGATGATTATCGATGGTATGAGAAGGACGTTGCCTATATTGCTTCTATTTCTTACCCTGCACACCTCATCTTCCATCTGAATTTGTGACATGGGATTGATTTTTTTTCTCTGATCAAGTTGTGCCCTTTTGTTGGCTGATGATCTGTGTAAGATCAGTGTGGATATTGCAGCACCAATCCTTTGTTGCTGACCGGTGACCGAGTTACTTGGAGGGGGCTCAGCTGAAAAGCTTACATCCTCTGGGAAACATGGGAGTCATCTTTGGGGTGTATGTCAATAGGTACATCCGAGTTTAAATATGATTTATGTTTGGTAATGGATATGTAAGAACCCTTTCATGTCATCTTTTGCATCACAATCATGTCATCTCACATTCAGGAACAAGGAAGAGAAACCGAGCATGAGCAGCCGCAAAGGCTCTCCCAAATCCAAGAACCCTTTCAGTCGTATCAAGGATCACGGCCCATGGACTCCCTGGCACTTGCTGAGCCGCCTGGGGAAAAACCCCTTGCGTCTGTGGTTCCCGCCGATCACGAGGGCTGGTTCCGCAGGCTCCAGCGCTCATCAGTGTGCACCAGCAGCAGCCATGGCCCGACATTTGCCACTCTGTTATTCGGTTGATTTGGACCACCTGGATTGAATTTCTTCAGCTTTTTTCTTGTGATTTGCTTTGAATTGTTTTTGTATTTTCTCTCTGTTTCTACATTTTTTTTATTAGTATACTTGAGGTGATTGCTCTGTATTTTGGTTGTTCGTTTTTTTAAGTGTTTCCTTGCTATAATAAATCCCCAATTTCTCTTTTTTTTTTTAAATGATTTCGACCATATAACAAATCACTGAGAAAGTTGATTAATTGTAGCAAAGTTGTATATATTCTTTTATATGATTCCTTGCAACTTATTTCAAGTTTCATTACCTTTCACAGATTCGGAGCAAAAAGCTGACCAGCCCACCAGTTGCTTATAATGCTGGCATTATTGACGGAATATGTGAGTAAGGATGAGATCCTTATCATTTTGTATTAAATCACCCGCATTTTGATTTATGGCACTGAAAAATATATACATTTACTTTTACATTTACAAGAATACAGTCCAAAACTTAAAAAATTTATTCATGGGTGAATGAATATATATACTCGCATCATATATTTATTATAGACTATTTTTTTTATGAACAGAGAGAGAGAGAGAGAGAGAGAGAGAGAGATGATTGGTCATCTACCTCGCCGCCACCAAATTTCAATGTGTATATAATATAAATACACACACACGATGGCATCAAATTAGTGGACAGAGAATGATCCGTTAAATTTTTAAAAAAAGCCTAAGAATGCAAAAGAAAAAAAAAGAATCGCAGATAAACCACCACCTCCTCATTAAAGCAAAAGGACAAAAAGAGAAAGGTTCTCTCTATTGTCATTTGAAGAAGAGGAAGAGGAAGAAGAAGAAGAAAGCTACTTCACTCCTTCCTTCCTTCCTTCCTTTATCCGTCACCGAACCCTACATTCTTGTTCGTTCGACAGAAACCTCCGAGCTAATCCTTTCATGATCTCCATATAAGTTTCCTCCCTTCCCGGGCACGTACCCCGGAATGTCGGCATCCGACCAGAGTCGTTCTGAACTGCTTATGGATGTGGAGCTGGTCCGTTAAGAATCTTTGATGCCGTGTCTGTGCTTTCATGGGGAAGAAGACTACTGACGAGGAGCAGAACCAGCCGGCTGAGAATAATGACCGGAGTAGCAGATGCTCCGGTTGCTGCTGTTGTGGATGGATCTCGAGATTCGTTAATCTCAGATGCGTTTTGGTTCTTGCGCTTTCTGCCGCGGTGTTTCTCTCTGCGTTGTTCTGGTTGCCTCCTTTCCTCGGATTAACAGATCGGCAGGATCTGGATCTCGACCCAAGGTTCAAAGGTGATAGCGTTTTCCTCTGTTCTTTGCTTTGTTCGCCTTCTGGGCTTCGTTGCTGGTTGGAGAAATCGGTGTAGGCGCGATTTTTGTACGGATTTAGGGCTTTGTTTTGTGATGTTTGTGTTTGTAGCATTTTCTATAGCAGACAGGTTTGGTTCTGAACAAAACCCTTGTCTAATTGTGATCAACTTCCTGCTTTCTTGGGAAGTGATCTGATGGATGAATGTAAATATGTATATTCACATCGGCTTACCTCGGAAATGGCTATTTTTAGGAACATTCTTTAGAATTATGATGAAATGGATCTGGATGATTTAACAAGTGGAAACGAGAGAGGAAAACTTGTTTGGAAAATTTCTCCTTGTTATTTCATAATACCCTTGGCAATGTATATATACACTTGTGAAAGAATAAAAAGAAAAACAATAAAATGATTTACAGCTGCAACAGACCTAGTACTAGTACTGTAGGCTAAAAACCCGTAAGGAAAAACCTATAAAAAGGTGTCCCCTGTAACCTCCATTGTACCAGCAAGAAAATGTCAGAAGGAATAATGGTGTTGTTTGATACTCCCCCTCAAGATGGGGAATATAGGTGGTGAATCCCCATCTTGGAGAGGAGGTACCTGAAGCGTTCAACAGACAATGGCTTGGTTAACAAGTCTGCAATCTGTTCCGAGCCAGCAACATGTAGAGGCTTGAGGAATCCTGTCTTGATCTGTTCCCGTACATAATGGCAGTCCAGCTCGATATGCTTGGTGCGCTCGTGATAGACAGGATTATTAGCAATGTGTATAGCAGATTTGCTGTCACAAAACAATGTCACTGGTGTAGGAAGAGGAATCTGTAAGTCAGAAAGTAATGAAGCTAACCAAACTAGCTCGCAACAAGTTTGTGCCATTGATCTGTATTCAGCTTCTGCAGAACTTCTAGAGATGGTCTGTTGCTTTTTAACACGCCAAGAAACGAGAGATGAGCCAAGGAAGATGCAGAAACCTGTGATGGAGCGTCTGGAATTGGGACAGCTAGCCCAATCTGCATCACAGAAGCCACTGAGAGAAATAGAAGAGGCAGATGAGTATAAAATGCCTTGAGCTGGATCATTTTTCAGATAACGTAAGACCCTCATTGCTGCCTGAAAATGAGAAGTCCTAGGTTGAGCCATATATTGACTGAGTTTATTCACTGCGAATCCAAGGTCAGGTCGTGTAATAGACAGGTAGATCAATCTGCCAATTAGCTTCCTGTAAACAGAAGCATCAGGAAGAAGTTCTCCTGAATCTTGAGCAAGCTTCAGATTCAGCTCCATAGGGGAACCAACAGCCTTGCAACCCAACATGCCATAGTCATCAAGGAGTTCGAGTGTATATTTGCGCTGACAAATATACAGACCTTTGGCAGATCTAGCAACTTCAAGCCCAAAAAAATACTTCAGATCAGCCATGTCTTTGATCTGAAAGTGGGAGCTTAAGAGGCTTTTAAGCTCAGTTACCATATCCATATTGTTCCCAGCAACCAAGATGTCATCAATATAGATTAAGGCAGTCACAAAAAAAGAACCAGTTTTGCGGAAAAATAATGAGTTATCAGCCGCAGACTGGTGATAACCAGCATTAAGGAGTATTTGGCAAAGCTTGTGATTCCATTGGCGAGAAGCTTGCTTCAAGCCATATAAGGATCTGTTGAGTTTGCAGACTAGACCAGATGGAACAGACTCCCCCTTGAGCTGTGAATATCCAGGAGGTAGATCCATGTATATTTCCTCATCAAGGTCTCCATTTAGGAAAGCATTAGAAACATCAAGTTGATGCAGAATCCAGTTTTGAGAAGCAGCAAGGGCTAAAATGACTCGGACAGTTGTCATTTTAGCCACGGGGCTAAATGTCTCTAAATAATCTATACCCTCCTGCTGAGTATAGCCCTTTGCAACCAAACGGGCTTTATACTTATCAATGGAGCCATCAGCATGAAATTTCGTTCGGTACACCCATTTACAGCCAATTGACCTTTTGCCAGAAGGTAAGGAGCAAACAGACCAAGTATTTGTATGAATCAGGGCCTCAAGTTCAAGTTCCATGGCTTTTCTCCAGGAATCAGATTTCACTGCTTGGGAAAAGGTTTTGGGGTCTGTGGTTGTGGTTATGTTTAGAACAAAGGTTTTATAAGAGGGTTCAAGCTTGTCATAGGTTAAGAAATCTGAGATAGGGTAAGGAGTAGTATATTTGGTGGAAGACAAGGAAGATGAGGTGTTGGAGAGAAGAAAACAGTGGTAGTCTTGTAGATAAGTAGGGCGAGAAGTTATTCTTTGTGGTCGGACATTGTCTGCCAAAATACTATGATGTTCCGAGATCTCTTGGGGAGAAGAAGAAGAAGAAGAATGAGTGGAATTTGAGGGAGTGGAAGAAGAAGAATTTTGAGGAATAGGAGAGGAAGGGATATCATCATAGAGATAGTAAGGTGATGGTGGACAAAAGAAATTGTCTGAAAAAGAAGTAACAGGCTGTGTATTGTGAAATGGAAAGACTGTTTCATGGAAAATAACATTCCTTGAGATAAAGATGGTATGAGTTTCAAGATTTAACACCTTATAACCTTTGAAACCTGGAGGATACCCAAGGAAAACAGAAGGCACAGCTCGAGGGCTAAATTTGTGGCGATCTTTGGTGTATGTTGAAACATAACATAGGCATCCAAAAACTTTAAGATGAAAATAATCAGGTTTGTAGTTCAACAAACATTCAAAAGGGGTTTTATCGTTTAAAGGAGATGTGGGTGTTCTGTTTATTAAGTAAACTGCAGTTAAAATGCAGTCACCCCAATAACAAAGGGGAATCTTGGATTGGAAAAGCAAAGCACGAGCAACATTTAAAAGGTGTTGATGTTTTCTTTCAACCACAGAGTTTTATTGTGGTGTATAAGGGCAGGATTTGTAATGAAATATTCCATGTTTTGTGAGAAAATCAGAAAAATTCAACTCCGGGGCATTATCACTTCGAATGGATTTGATAGTGATATTGTATTGAGTTTTAATCATTTGATAAAAAACAGGGAATTTGGAAGAGACTTCAGATTTACAAGTGAGGAGGTAAACCCATGTAACTCGACTACAATCATCCATCAAAGTTAGAAAATACTTAAAACCATCAATAGTGGGTTCATGGAAAGGACCCCAAATATCAACATGTACAAGATCAAAAGGTAACTTAGATATATGTTTTGAAGATGGAAATGGTAAAGTTTTCTGTTTTGCCAAAGGACAAACAGTACAGTCATGTGAAGCAGTAGATTTAGTAAAAGAAATATCAGAAGACCCTATTGCTTTAATCTTCAAGTATGATGGATGACCCATACGAAAATGCCAAAGATCAACCGATGAAGCCACAAGAGCTGTGCATAGAGGAGATGATAGAGGACCGAAAACAGAAGAAGACTTCGGGATTTCCAGGACATATAGGTTATGCACCAGTTTACCCGTGCCAATTGTCGAGTCCAGAATATGGTCCTGGATGACATAAGAGTGATCATTAAAGGTGATAGATAGAGATGTGTTTTTGGTAAGGCAACTGACACTTAATAGATTGTATTTGAAAGTGGGAATGTATAAGACAGAAGTGAGAGTTAAGTTCGGGAATAAAGGAACAGAACCAGATTCCATAACGATGAGGGAATCACCAGTAGGAAGGGAAATAGAGATCGGCGGAACATCATAGATTTCAGAAAATAAGGTTCAATCACAACAAATATGGCAACTCGCACCACTATCTAAAATCCAAAGCACTGGGGAAAAATTTAGGCTAGGTAATGAAGCAGAAAGAAGAAAAGAGGATATATTACCTGGTGAAAGTGGAGGAGAAGAGGAGGAAGCAGCATAACCTGAGTCCGAAGGAGAAGAGCCATGGGTCTTTAACTGCGAGGTGTACTGAGCCAACAATTCCTTAGCCTGCGCCAGCTGGGTACGCATGTCAAGAGCCTCAGCAGAACTTACAGGGCGCTCCAAAGCATGGGGAGTTCCAGATCCCACCAGATTCACTGGTCTAGGGTTTCGGTTGGGTGGAGAAGATTTGGGAAAGTGTCGAGGAGTGGGTAATAGAGGGGCTGGGGATTTGTATCCCGGCGGAAACCCATGAAGATAGTAGCAACGGGCCACAGTATGGCCCAACATACCACAGTGGGTGCAAACAGGCCTCGGCTTTTCGTGGGCTTGGGTAAAGTGTTTGGGCCTTGGTTTAGGGTTTGGCAGAGGAGGAGGAAACTGAGGGTGCGAGCGAAATGGAGCAGAAACCTGGAACGCAGCTTGATCCGAAGAGGAGCTGAAAGATAGGCCCTGTTGTTCTTCCTGAGAAATCAGGTTGTAAGCTTTTGTGATGTTGGGTAAAGGATCAAGCATAAGGATCTAGCGCCGGGCAGCAGTGTAGGAGTCATTGAGTCGCATCAAGAATTTGACGACGTTCGTGCGTTCAAACAGCTGAGTCCACTGATCCGGAAGGTTGCAAGAACAACCACCGCAAGTGCAGCCTCCGCAGGTGCAACCACCACAGGTACAGGACGGGAATGGTTCGAAGTTACGCAGCTCCTCCCACAGAGAGGTAAGTTTGGTAAAGTAAGTGTTTAGATCCAACGAACCTTGATGCAGAGTATCCAACTGATGTTGGATGTTGTAAACCTTAGAGACATTTTGTTGTTTGAAACGGTTCTCCAGGGCAGTCCAGATCAGATGAGCTTCGTCAAGGTAGACGATGAGACCAGCGATGTCTGTGCTCACAGCGTTGTTGAGCCATGTGCAGACCATGTCATTCGTGCGAGACCATAACCCAACATCAGGATGATCAGAGGGTGGTCGCGGAACAGAACCAAAAACAAAACCCATTTTGTTTTTTGCATTCAAGGCCTTGAGAAAGGCACGGGACCAAACATTATAGTTTGCTTCGCCCAACAATTTTTCAGGAACGAGCTGCAAGTTTGATGAATCCGCAGCATGAAGGTATAAAGGGCTTGAATAGGGATCTGAGATAGGGTTAGAAACAGGGGGGTTTGAAAAGGGGGTGGAATCTGGGGATCAGAATCAACCGAAGCGTTGGAAGCCGTAGACTCAGCCATGGCGAAAAGTGAAAAAACGAAGGAGATGAAGATGAAGAATAGAAACGAAAATCAAGAGCGGAGCTATTGATGAAGCTCTGATACCATAACAAGTGGAAACGAGAGAGGAAAGCTTGTTTGGAAAATTTCTCCTTGTTATTTCATAATACCCTTGGCAATGTATATATACACTTGTGAAAGAATAAAAAGAAAAACAATAAAATGATTTACAGCTGCAACAGACCTAGTACTAGTACTGTAGGCTAAAAACCCGTAAGGAAAAACCTGTAAAAAGGTGTCCCCTGTAACCTCCATTGTACCAGCAAGAAAATGTCAGAAGGAATAATGGTGTTGCTTGATATGATTTGATTCAGGAGCCGACAAATATGTTTTGTTAGTCCCAAACTGTCTGATAAAAGGATGATCATGAATCTATAGTTAGTATTGTAGACATCTTTTGTGAACCAAGACTGCTTCCTGTAAAGAGTATACCGCTGAAAACGTTTCAAAGGTCATATCCATTCGGATCTCTGTAGGTTGTTTCACTGTTCTTGGTGTTGGTTTCCTGAATCTGGTTCAAAACTAGTGGAAAATGGGGAAATGGTTGCAGTCCGAGCCCAGATTCTTTGATCATTTATGCTTGTTGAGCTCATTGTAATGTTCAAATTTTTACCAGAGTATTAGGTGTATAATTGTTGATGGATTCTAAGAAATTCTCCCATCTGATAGAGTCGTGATGAATTCCATACCTTTGATCTGCATAATTTGATGTGAAAACTGATTGTTTCATGATGGTTTAATACCTTGTATACATCCTTCAGGCACGTAACTACGCAAAGTTTTGTTTCTTTTGCAGATCACAAGATAGTGGCGAGTTTCTACGTTGAGAAATCAGTTTCATTCCTGGAGGAGAATATGTTACAGCTTGAGAAGGATATCTTCGATGAAATAGGCTTCCCGACCACCAAAGTATCTACACTTCCCCGTCCTTGTCTTACCTGCTGTGTACGTCATTCATACGGTTTCTGTATTGATCACACTCTATGTTTCTGTCTCTCCCTCCTTGTATCAGGTCGTTGTTCTATGTCTCGAACGTTCAGGCAACTCGAACAGAATAAGTGTTGTGTTTGGAGTTGATCCAGAGGAGAAGAATTCAAAGATATCTCCCGAAATCCAGAGTTTGATAAGAGCGGCTTTCAAAACTTTGGTAATAAAGCAGGTGTCTTTACGCTTGACCGAATCCTTGTTCGGCCATCCCTTCTTGTTCGAGGTGCTGAAATTCCCGAAAGGAATCACTGTGATCCCTCCTCAGCCAATATTTCCCCTGCAGAAAGTGCAGATCCTTTTCAACTTCACCTTAAACTTCTCGATATACCAAATCCAATCAAATTTCTTGGAACTCACTAGTCAGCTCAAGAAGGGAATAAATCTGGCACCATATGAGGTATGAGCATTCCCATTCCCACTCGATTTCTGGCCATATATACTCTGGAATCACATCATCCACTCTTGTTGATTGCAGAATCTTTACATAACTTTGTCAAACTCCAGGGGGTCGACGGTTGCTCCTCCCACAACTGTTCAGTCTTCCGTTCTGCTGACTTTCGGAAATACCCCTTCGAGACTGAAGCAGCTCGCTCAAACTATATCTGGCTCGAATTCCAAAAACCTCGGCCTCAACCATGCTGTCTTTGGTAAGGTAAAACAAGTTAGTCTTTCTTCCATCTTGCAACATTCCCTCGATGGCGGAAAAGGCATTCCTGTATCATGGTCTCCAACCCCCGCTCCTCAACCTGACCACCATAGCCACCACCAGAGCAGCTACTTATCTCCTCAACGTACTCCTGCATATAAGGGCTTTGCACCTGCACCTGCACCCACCAAACGTTCTCATATGCCTCGGAAGAGTGGCAATGCCAATGCGCCTTGCCATTTCCAGTACATGAGGCCAAACAGAAACATTGGCTCGACCCATTCGACTGCATCCCGAACAAGTTCAGCACCGCCAACAATCTCTCCTCGCCATTCGGCCCCTTAGAAATCCGGCATATCCACCAGCAGGATTCAAGAACTGACCTCAAAAACTCAGGGAACCCCATGAAACACCGAAGACTCACCACCACCTTCACAACACTGTGAGTGCTCCTTCTGATCTCATCCGTTAACGATCCAAAAACTCCAATCTTTCAATCTGAAAAAAATGGCGGTGTCATGACTAAAGCTGACATGGGCCGACAGGGAAATGGGCAAACCGTGATCCTTGTAATAACAGTTGTAAAATGTGTCTGTAACTCACACAAACGCAGGAGAAGCTGCTTAACGTTCAAGCTGTAAAGACAAAGCAGCAGTTCTTAAGCACTTCTTCCTCGCGTGAATTCCAAAGTAACTGTATAAATCAACAGACGAGTATATGTAAATCTACAATATTACATAAGGAAAAAAAAAGATTTTTTCTTTTTTTGTAAGAGCGGGTTGAAGCACAAAAGTGTGGTTTTGCACCAATCCGATGGACCCTTATAATATAAACAAAACATTTCTATGGATTTTGTAAATAAAATACTTTTTTTTTTTTTTTAATTATGTGAGTGTTTTTCTATTAAATATTCCACTCTAGTGGTAACCGTTGTAATATTTTGTAATTTGTAATTTTTTATGGTTTTATTGATATGAAAGATAAATCCCATTTGTTCTTACATAGCCTTAATAGTAAAATTGAAAAATTATCAAAACGCTTATATGAAAAAAAAAATGAGACGGTATCGAATTTTTTGTGTTACAATTCAATTTCTATATGCCATATTTTTTATGAAATTGGATTTTTATTTTTTTCGTGATTTTCTCTTGTTGTAGTTATCACATATGGATTTAGATATGTTTAAATCCAATTCAAGTTTTCTTAAATTGCACTTAATAACATCCCAATCCAACCCCATTAATTCTTGTATTTAATTGGAATAAAAAATAAATAAAAACGATCACTTACGATTATCATCGGCCCATTTCTGGTTTTGGGCTTTCTTCTTCCCACTTTCCCTATTAATTTCGTTCTAGGGTTAGGGTTCATAGAAGACATTTGCGGCACTGGCCGCATTGCAATCTCCCTTGCCTCCTTTTCCCTTTCCGGATCTGCTCTCTCTCTCAAAACCAAAGATGCCGCCGAGATTGGCTTGTGCTGCATCAGGTTTCGTTCGTACTCCTCTGTCGAACAAAGGTATACTCAACACATTCGTACGCTGTTCCACTGTTTTATGCTATCCGAGATTGGCTTATTCTGGTGTGAGAGACAGCGATTTGTCGTACGGAGAGAGATTGAGGTGTGGGTTTGGTAATGGTGATGTCGATGATGCTGTTGCTCTGTTCCATCTGATGGTTCGGTCTCGTTCCCCCCTCCCTTCAATTATCGACTTCAGTAAATTATTGAGTTCAGTCGTTAAGATAGAAACGGTAGGATATAGTGATTTCTCTCTGCAAGCAAATGAAATGGTTAGGAGTTTTGCATGATCTCTATCAACTGTTTCTACCACTCAGATCAAGTGGTTAGAACATTTTCGGTTTTAGGGAAGATCATGACGTTGGTTTATACGTGTGACGTTGTCACATTTACTAACCTACTCAATGGATTCTACATCGGGGCTGAAACTTCCGCTGTGCTAGGTTTGATAGAGCTAATGGTGGAGAAAGATTGTCAACCCGATATAATTTGGGCATCATGTTTTAGCTTTGGATTTGATCAAGAAGATAGATGAAAGATGCATTGAGGTCGATGTCTTAACTTGTATTACGATTATCGATTGTCTTTGCAAATTTGGAAACAAATGATGCAGATAGCATTTTTAGTAAGACGATCGACAAAGGAGTTGCACCGGATGTTATCACCTACAAAGCTTTGATAAACCGCATTTGTGGTTTCGGTAGATGGAATGATGCCACATTATTATTGAAGGACATGACCAAAAGGAAAATCAAGCCTAATGTTGTTATTTTCAATGGATTACTCAACATTTTTATTAAAGACGGGATATTTCCAAAGGCTAACGATGGAAAAGAGTGGGATGGACTTCGATATAGTTGTATTGTATTATTATCATTGTGTAAAGCTGAGAAGGTTGATGAGTCATTTCAGTTGTTCGATAGACTTTTTGATCAAAGGGCGGAACCGGATATGAAAACATATACTATGGACTTTGTGGAAAAGGTTTACAAGGTGAAGCTCAAAGGCTGTTTAGAGATACAAAAGAAGTTGATTTTTTACCGGATTATTGCACGTGTAATGCAATCATTCGTGGTCAGCTGAGGCATGGTTCTACATTGGATGTTATTGAGCTTATATGAGAAATGTGAAGCCATGAGTATCATGCTGATGCATCGGCAATGAGTATGGTAATAGATATGGTATCTGGTGGTAGATTGGAGAAAGGGTTTGTGGATCTTCTTTCTCAGTGATTCGATTATCGCGATGGTCACCTTGTACTCTCCCGTTTGGCAATCACGGAGAGGTGAAATCTCTTCTGTCCTTTAATCTGTTTCATGATGTAGATGGTGCTGTTTGATTTTGTCCCCTCACTTCCACTGTTGATTTCAATAGGTTATCGAGCGCTGTTGGAGATGGGAGGAGATGGCAGATTTTTCCTTCTTGCATCTTGTACTTGAAACATCAGTTTGATTTCGTTTAACTGAAATTGTACTTTGTTGTCAGTAACATAATAGGGTGGATTCTCGTTCAACTTCTGTTTAGAAATAAAAAATGTAATTGAGTATTGCATTTTCCCTAGATTCTGTTTATATTTTCTTTATCAGTTTATACATACTTTTCGACTGCTTATTACAAATCAGCACAAAATTGTGTTTTTTGCACCCATCCGAATATCTACGCATTTTGTAAATAAAGTACTTTTACTGTGATATTTCTTTTAAATTCCATATTCTCCTGGCCGGTCGAAGCCACTATTGTGTTCTTTTACTGTTTTCAAGAAATTGTAATTCAATATTTCCCGACAATATGCATCAGTTGAAGAAGATTCACAGAGAGATTTACAGGAAACAGCTCAGGAAAATGAAATAAAAAAGGATTGGGCAGAGAGAACTCTCACGGATGATCCAAGCGTCTCTTTATCACCTGTGTCTCGTGATCTTCTTGCCTGTTCTTCCTTCGAGATATGTTGTCATGTAACATGAAATCTTTTTTTTTTTTTTGATGATGAAGGAATTTGTCGTCTAACGAAAAAAAAATAAATCCAAATATGGCCCAAGTTCTCGGCTTTACGTAGTCGCACTCGTGCCGGGAGGCATCAACGGTGCAGAACGATTCACGAAAATATCTTCTCGATTATTTTCATTTCCCAATAAAAAAAATGGCCAATTTGACACTCACATACTGTGTTAAGTATCCTTATTCAGCCTCTCCGATACGTCGGCCACTCTCGCTGTAGTTTCCGATTTTGCAAGCAAAGGTGAACATTCCCATTTCTCACTTCTCTTGTCTCGCGTTTGTTTTCTTTTCCATGATTTCCGATTCACTTAAAGTTTAACAATTGGTTCTGATGGATTCGCCTTTGGGTCTCTTGAATTCTTTTTGTTTGATTTGGGTGTTTTGGTTCTTATTGATTGTATCTGTTTAGTTATGTTAAAGCTCATTGCTTTCCAACAGATGCAATTTCAATCACCGTGTTAGTGAGTTGGGATTAACTGTACAAATTGTGGGTTTTGTAAATCATCGAGAATTTTGATCTGGGTTATCCGCCATTTTTTCAGACGGGTCTGATTTTGATCGTGTTGGTTTACAGAAATGGTGAATCTGGGATCGCTTTCTCTGACCAGCAGCAGTAGGTCGTCTAAGCCGATGGTTCACATCAGCTTCTGGATACCGTACTTCACTCATTGGGGTCAGAGCCTCCTGGTCTGTGGCTCGGCTCCTGGGCTCGGTTTGGAGGACGTGAAGAAAGGGCTGTTGTTGAAGCCATTGCATCAGGGTGATGAGCTCATCTGGACTGGAAGTGTTTCGGTTCCGCAAGGATTTAGCTGCGAGTACAGTTACTATGTGGTGGATGACAAGAAAAATGCCCTAAGGTGGGAGATGGGGAAGAAACGCAAGCTCGTGTTGCCGGATACATTGAAGGGTGGAGAGTATGTTCAGCTCCGTGATCTTTGGCAGGTTCGTGTTTATTGCATTTAGCAGATATTTTCTTGAAATGGGCTCTTGTGGATGTTTTTGCCTTTCATTAGTTTTGTCATCTGATATTCTTTTACAACCTTTTGGATAAATTTTTGGAATCTGAATTTCAGTTGTCTTATAATCTCTTGAGAATCATTTGCATGATGTGAATACTGTACACAGATAGCTGTAATGTAATTTGTTTATGAGTACCATACGTAGTGACTTCATTCTGCGGAGGCTCAGTTTTTTGTTCTTTCTTGAAATGTTTGATGGATTTATCGGTGCTTCGATTGCATGAACAACAAACATTGCTTGTTTATGCTTATATTTACCCTTGAAATGCTGTGTTTTAATATCAGACTGGTGATCAAGCTCTCCCATTTAGAAGTGCATTCAAAGATGTTATCTTCCGGCAGAGTTGGGATTTGAAAATAGACAAACCTCTCGGGGTGTTTCAGAATACGTTAGATCAAGATGGTACTATTGTTTATTCTGACATCTCATTTCTTTGTCTAAGAATCTTGTATGGCACTGATGCATTGTCTACCCCGTTTCAACTCTGGACTTCCATTTGATGTAAACAGATTCACTTCTAGTCCAATTCAAAATATGTTGTCCAAATATCGGAGAGGAAACATCAGTAAGCCCTTTTTCTTTGATCATCTTGTTCTATGTTTTCATATTTGGATTCAGTGAAGTGACAGCCAACATTTCTTATGTCTGCTAATTACATCCGCAGGTGCACGTTCTAGGAACCTCGGAAAAGTTGGGGAAATGGAAAGTTGAAGGTGGACTTAGTCTGAACTATGTTGGAGATTCTGTCTGGGAAGCGGATTGTCTGATCCCTAGAGCCGATTTGCCTATCAAATATCCTTTATTTGTGTTTTTCCAAACTGATTTCTTGCCTCTAGTTATCCATTCTTTGTATTCGTTTCCTCGTCGGTTTTCCCGTTCTCTTACCATTTGTCGGTTTCTTAATGACGATTTCACATATAGATACTGTAAAGTGAGGAAGGCAGGTGAGTTGTCTTTGGAATCTGGTGGCAACAGGGAGCTCTCTGTTCCTGTTGACAATCGGCAAAGAATCATTATCATGTCGGATGGTTTATTTCGTGTAAGTTATCAACATTAGCTGGGAATTAGTTGCTATCGATGACATGATAAATGGTCTTTTTCCTTAATAGGCATGATTTATCTGTCCCTTTAGGAAATGCCGTGGCGGGGTGCTGGGGTAGCGATCCCCATGTTCTCTGTAAGGTCAGAAGCTGATATTGGTGTGGGAGAGTTTCTTGACCTAAAGCTTCTTGTTGACTGGGCGGTAGAGTCGGGGTTGCATCTTGTACAACTTTTACCGGTGAATGACACATCGGTGCATAAGATGTGGTGGGACTCGTATCCCTACAGGTATGTGGATTGGATAACATCTATTTAGCTCTTGCATAAGTTCATATCAGCTTCCTATCACTCAGTAGGTGTTAGATCAAATCTATTTTGTCTGTAATTGTTTAATGTTAACATGTTGAATAGTGTGGTTCACCTTCTTTACATCTCTACCTCTTTTTCTTTCCCCCTGCAGCTCGTTATCTGTGTTTGCGTTGCATCCTTTGTATCTTAGAGTCCAGGCTCTCTCTGAACGTTTACCAGAAGAGATTAAGGTAATTCATTCACACATCTTTTATATCCAAGAAGAAACTAGTCTCGTAAAGAAATAAATTAGCTGACCTGATTCTTTCCTTTCAGCAAGAGATTGACAAGGCCAGGAAGCAGCTGGACAAAAGGGTGGCTTTTCTCTATCTTTCATCAGCGTTTTGATTGGCATCACAGATTCTCGTAATTTCTCATCAGTGTATTGTAAATTAATTTGTTGAAGATTTGTACATGCAGGATGTTGATTATGAGGCTACAATGGAAACTAAGCTTTCAATTGCCAAGAAAATTTTTGACCTGGACAAGAACCGGACGCTGAATTCTAGTTCCTTCCAGAAATTCTTCTCGGAGAACGAGGTCTTCTGATTGTAATCTGTTATGCTTTCTGGTCCCTCAGTTTTGAGTCCATCGCCTTACTGAATTTTCTTTTCTTCAAAAGGGATGGTTGAAGCCCTATGCTGCTTTCTGCTTTCTCCGGGACTTTTTCGAGACATCAGATCATAGCCAATGGGGTACGTTTTCTCGCTACACAACAGAAAAGGTATCGTCCTCTTTTTCTCGGTGAAGTTTTGACAGATGTTATTTATCTGTGTATAGAGTCAGGAACTTTCATAAATCTCCGAATACCATTTGTTGCAGCTTGAGAAAATAATTTCTAAGGACAGCTTGCACTATGACAGCATATGCTTCCACTACTACATCCAGTACCATTTACATTTACAAGTGAGTATATTCTTTCTGTGATTCATACTTATCTGGTTTTGCTCCGTTCTTTAGAGTCAAATTGGTTTGTTCGGATATTTGATTGAAAAGTTTTCGGTTGTCCATATTCAACAGTTGTCAGAAGCTGCAGAATATGCGAGGAGGAAAGGAGTGATACTGAAGGGAGACCTTCCTATTGGAGTCGACAAAAACAGTGTCGATACATGGGTGTATCCCACTCTGTTTCGTATGAATACATCGACTGGAGCACCTCCTGACTATTTTGACAAAAACGGCCAGAATTGGGGATTTCCTACTTATAACTGGGAGGAAATGTCAAAAGACAACTATGCTTGGTGGCGTGGTCGCTTAACACAGGTCAGTATCAGTATCCATTTCGTTAGACTGCTGTTTTTAAGATCATTATGCATGATTATTGATTACTACATTGTATACTTGCTTTGCAGATGGGAAAGTATTTCACAGCCTATAGGATTGATCATATATTGGGATTCTTCAGAATCTGGGAACTTCCTGACCATGCTATGACTGGTTTGGTGGGGAAGTTCCGTCCATCTATCCCGTTAAGCCAGGTACATATTATCCACGATTTACAGTTGAGAGAAAGTCGGGATCTTCTTGGAGTGGGAATTGTGTTTAACTGTTTAGGCTGCAAGGTAACAAGATTCAATGTTGAGAGGAAATCATGTTTGTTTTTTCTGGCTTGTCATCTGTTGTAGGAAGAGCTAGAAAAGGAGGGGATATGGGACTTGGATCGGTTGAGCAAACCATATATCCGACGGAAATTTCTGGAGGTTTGTTTTCTGTCGAGTCGTTTCTGATTTGGTTGTCACAGCTCGGGGATTTGACTTCACAAGTTTTTCTGTTATTTAGGAAAAGTTTGGAGATTTTTGGCCCTTCATTGCATCGAATTTTCTAAATGAAACTGAGAAGGACTGCTATGAGGTCAGTATGGCTTGATATGGTTCTGGTTTGGGACAAATATAGTCTCTTGGCATTAGTTGAGCTTCATTATTGGTTTCCTCTCTATCGTTCTATGTATTTTATATTGGGTTTTACTTAATTTGCTCGTTTCAACCATCTAGTTCAAAGATGATTGCAACACCGAGAAAAAGATCGCAGCAAAGCTGAAATTATTAGCTGAAAAGTCTTTGTTGCTGGACGACGAGGACAAAGTTCGACGTGATATCTTTGACATTTTACGTGTAAGATCCATGCTTCATAACTTGACTCCTTTCCTTATGCCTCCCTTGGTCTGTAAATTTAGTTGCTTCGAGGTGTTATGAACTATCTCCGTTGATTTTGTTTTTTTGTAGAATATCGTTCTTATCAAAGATCCTGAGGATGAAAGGAAATTCTACCCTCGCTTTAATCTCGAGGACATTTCAAGTTTCCAGGATTTGGATGATAAAAGGTATTCCATAATCTTTTCTCAAAACCCAAATATATTTACTTCTTGGTTTGCTATTTCGTCGCGAGTACATCCTTCTTGCTTTTTTGTCAATATGGAAGTTTCTGATCATACTCTTCTGATACAGCAAAAACGTTCTGAAGAGACTTTACCACGATTATTATTTCCATCGCCAAGAGGATCTATGGAGGAAAAACGCTCTAAAGACCTTGCCAGTTCTGTTAAATTCATCGAATATGCTAGCCTGTGGCGAGGATCTCGGTCTTATCCCATCTTGTGTGCATCCTGTATGTTCTCAATGCCCTTTTTCCTTCCCAACTTGTGAATGCTTACCTTGTTTTGTCTGAACGAAATCTTCTCCTATGCTCAGGTCATGCAAGAACTAGGGTTAGTCGGGCTACGCATCCAACGCATGCCCAGTGACGCCGGTGTAGAGTTCGGGATTCCCTCTACTTACGACTATATGACGGTATGACTTTCCTCTTCGAATACAGCTTTGTTTTCGTCCCGGAATGCCGTGGGAAACATCAATATATAGATGTTTCCATCATCTGCTGAAAATTTTGAAGTGGGTATTGAATCAGATATCGTTTTTGCATATTTCAGGTGTGTGCTCCGTCATGCCACGACTGTTCCACGCTACGTGCATGGTGGGAAGAGGACCAGGAAAGAAGACAACGGTATTTTAAGGATGTGGTTGGTTCGGATGAACTCCCGCCGAGCCAGTGTGTCCCAGAGATCACGTATTTCGTCCTGAGACAACATGTCGAAGCTCCGTCTATGTGGGCTATTTTCCCTCTTCAGGTATCATCATGTTCCCACCATCCAAGTTCCCACCATCCAAGTTCCCAGATTCTTGGAAACTTGCCTGAGTTTTGTTTGTGTCTGGTTCGTTTACTGATGATATAAGAACTGAGAAATGATGGGTGTTGGCTCACTTTTAGGATCTATTTGCTCTGAAAGAAGAGTACACAACCCGTCCTGCAACAGAGGAGACGATCAATGATCCGACAAACCCTAAACATTACTGGAGATACCGTATGTATCTGACGCATCTACACATTCACCTGTCCTGTCCTTCATGGTTGAATGATTTCTTTCAACATGGTTGTTTTGATGCGCAGGTGTACATGTTACCTTGGATTCGCTCATGGAGGACAAAGATCTGAAATCGACGATCAAAAACCTAGTTTCGAGCAGCGGAAGATCAGTTCCAGCTTCTGGGGAAGACGAGAAGCAAGGGGGAGATATCGTCAATGGTTCCACGAAGTAAAAAATAAATAAAAATCACAGCGGAAAAGCATTTGCTTGTTACCCACGCTACAGTTATGGCAATAGTAGTTGTTCTCAATCCTCGTGTAACGGAGGATGAATCATGAAGCTCGTTGCATTGTCTTGTTCTTCCCATCTGCAACTTTTTCAGACAACTCAGGATCACAACTCATGTTTCTAGTCATGATCTTCTTCAGGGTTCCTGTTCAATCTTACAGCTTTTTCTACGGCAGAAGAGGAAATCCTCTGGGAAAAGATCATCAAAAACTGCAGATCCTTTGGATAGAAAGATGGCGAAGAAGCTTGGTTTATTTGGCGATCTCTCGACAACCAATCTCATCAAAAGTTCGGAAAAAACACAACACGAGTCTACACAACAGCAACAGCAGAAACGGAAGATATATCTGCGAAATTTACATATCGACGGCGATGCGTTTGTAGAGATCGGCAGGCAACCTGGGCGTGACCACGGCCTGCAGAGGCGTACGCATGTAAGTGACGAGTCCCGGGCTTTCAGACATGTCAATGTCTTCTGGTTTTTTCCCTTCAGGTGGCGTCCAGACGAAATGGTGAAGCAAATGGCCAAGCATGGACGTGACCAGGTTGATACCAAGCTGCGCACCGGGGCAGACACGTCTCCCAGCTCCAAAGGGAAGCAGCCTAAAGTCATGGCCTTTCATGTCCACATCCTCTTCCAAGAACCTCTCGGGCCGAAACTCCAACGGGTCCTTCCACACGGTCGGGTCACGAGCCACCGCCCAGACGTTCACGAGGACGTTGGATCCCTTGGGGATATGGTAACCGCCGATTGTGACATCAGCGTTGGCTCGGTGAGGAAGCATCAATGGGGTCGGTGGGTGCAGCCTCATTGACTCCTTGACCACGCATTGCAGGTACGGAAGGGTCGAGAAATCGGGCTCCGTGAGGATGCGGTCGCGTCCAACGACTCGGTCTAGCTCCTCTTGCACCTTCTGCTGCACCCTCGGGTTCCTTATCATCTCAGCCATCGCCCACTCGGATGAGATGGAGGTCGTGTCCATCCCTGCCGTGATCATGTCCTGCACAAACCCACGATTGACTCATCAATCAAGATCGATGAATACATCGTGTTTCGGACCGGTTTTCGAACGTACCCAGAGAAGACCGATGATGGTATCTTCGCTTAGATCGTACTGATCCTTCAACGTGAGCAAAGCGTCGACGAAATGCTGCTTAGCGCCACCGGATTTTTGCCGGGCGAGAGTGTGCTCCTCCATGATTTTCCTGGTCAGGCGGTCACGGCGCGAGCCATGCTTGGCGAAGGCTTCCTCCTCCAATGGGAACATCCACCTGAGCCATGGGATGTGCTCTGCTATTGACAGTGAACCTCCTAGCTTTAGGCCGTTCGCCACTACGGCCTTGAACTCTAGCCCTTGCTCGTCCATTATTCCCTCCGCGTTTACGAAACGCTTCCCAAACGCTAAACGCGTTATGTTGTTGAACGCAACCGCTCCTATGTACTTCCTCAGCTGCAGACCCTTGGCTTTGTGGTCTGCGTCGGGAAAAAAATTACAACCCAAAAAAAAAATATCCATGACAGAACCGATTTAGCTAAGATTCTCATAAGATCATCCCAAAATATCCATGACAGAACAGAACGTGTTCAAGTCCTATCCTTTGGGGTAATAACGACAAAACTCGACGTAAAAACCCTGATTTTTTTACCCCTTTCGGTGATTTCAGAAGATTCGCTTACCAGATTCGTAACAATCCCAGCTCCAAATTTGATACCCATATCATAGAAAACGGCAATAATCGACAGTTACCATTTTTATGTCATTTTTAGAAGACGGGACCAAAACGACGACGTACCGGTGAGGTTGCAGCCGTTGAAGACGGACTCAACCATGGCGGTCACTTCGTCTTCACGGATCGGTCTCAGGGCCTCGAGCCGCTTCGGAGTGAAGAGCTCGAGCGTGCAAACCTTCCTCACTTTGACGTAGTGGGGACCGTAATCGGCCCAGATCAGATCCTTCCCGTCGCGGCTAAACTTCGCCGCCGATCTGCTCCGGTGCCGGTCCGCCAGCTGCTGGTCCTTCTCCTTCAGGACCTCCCTAGCCAGCTCCGCGCTCGAAACGATGACGTTTAACGTCGAACCGATCCAGACCGAGATGATCGGTCCGTAGGACTGAGCCCACTCGGCGTAGCACCTGAAGCGGATCGGTTTGATATCGTAGAGGTTTCCGACGACGGGCCACGGCCGTGGGCCCGGGGGCAGCTTGAATCTCAGCCGTTGGATTAGCTTGTAGGATGCGACGGCGGCGATGATCGACGCCACTACGAAGAACCAGGACATGCTTTGGGTTCTGATGAAATCGGAAACAGCAGCGAATTGATTCGGTTATCTTTTTTTGAGGTTTCTGGTAAGGTGGATTGGAGATTTTGATTTATATTAGGGAGGGAGTTGGTGAACCGATTTAAATAAAATAATAAAATAAAGGAATTAATTTATGAAATCCCATAATGAATGGAATTGAATGATCCTACGTATATATTATTATACACACACACACGTATATATATATATATATGTTAGGTGTTTTTTAATTATTGTTGTTGTCATTATTTTACCAAGAAAATTGGCAGTTGCTTATAAAACGAGTTTCACCCACCATGTGAATTGTTTGATATAAATATAAATTAATGTGTGGACGAGTATTAAGTATACCGAATGGTTTTGTTTGGACTAATATGTGCCCACTTCAGGCTTTGAGTTAGAAACTAAATTAATAATATTTGAAATATCTTCATTTGTTTGTTTCCTCATTTAAAAAAAAAAAATCTAACATTTCTTTTTATACCATTGGATTTGTTAGTAAAAAAAAGTATATGAGTATACTGTACATTGAAATAAAGACTAAAAAGTGTTTCCCAGACCACAATAAAACATACTATATGCTTAATTATAAAAAAATTTATATAAATACCTAGATTGTTACAAAAATAAATCCCAAATAAATATCTAAACTATAAAATTTTCATATAAATATCTTAACTTTTCAAAAATTTTATATAAATACTTAAACTTATGAAATTTTTTCATATAAATCTATATTTAAGGTATTTTTCAAATAAAAGCAGTCAAATCTTTTAATGGATATTGGATTTATTTATTTATTTTAAAAAATTTAGATATTTTTCTAAAATTTTTGAAAGTTTTATAATTCAAATATTTATTTAGATTTTTTTAAAGTTTAGATATTTATATATTATTTTCTCACTGTGTGTATATACAATCATATAAAAAAAATGGATGGCTTGGTGCGTGTAATAATTCGCCTCATAATATAACGGGCCATAGTGTTCCATAGGCCGAATGCTTTTTTTACAGATATAATGCGATTTTTTAATATATAAAAACATCATATGATTTTGTTTGGTTATTCTTGGACGTGCGGTGGACAAGAATAGATAAGCCCGAGGCGCGTGGCTCTCACTTGTATCGACCGCGAGTAGAATTCGGTTGGATTGTTTAGTGTCGTGGTTGGTGATCTTCTGACACGTCATCGGCACAGTTAGAGCGGGGGTTGGTGCGCCTTCACGCATGCCCACCGTTTCCTACGTTTTTTTTGTCACCAAACACATTTTATATATATTTTGTAATGTAGTTAAAATTTATTTAAAATTTGAAATAAAAATTGCTAACACTAGTTATCGGTTCATATATTCACCTTTTTATTAATATATAGTGTAAAAACATAAAATAGATGAACGTATAAAGATGTTGTGATCTGTATATTATATCATACATATTGTGGTTTGGTTATTCAAGTACTAATTTATTTAATAAAATTATTCGATTATGATATCATCTGGCCAACGTGGGGCCCAGCGGGGTTGTTGGGCTGGTAAGACGTTGACTGTTGTTTCCCATTTCTTATTCTTTTCTTTCTTTATCATCGTCTTATATATATATATGATATATATATATATAAGATGTATATATATATATGTATGTATATATAGATATATAATCAGAACACTTCACACATATTCTAATCATTGATATTATAATCTACATCCATATTTTTAGCCATAATATAATTTACTGTTGAAAGGGTTTGGTGTGCGAGAACCAATGTGTTGATGAATAACTGTAACGTTAGTTAATGTGATGGTTTGGTTTCTACGTTTTCGATTTGTAGTGGGTCATAGGAGGCCTCTAATGGGCCGAATATAGAAGGTCCATTTGGCCCATTAAACGAAGGTTAGACAACAAAACCATAATATATTTCACATGATTTTTTTTAATTTTTTTTTTTGTTACACCAAATGTTCAATTTACAGTAATTTATAACCAAAAAAAAAAAGAGGGGTCTCAGTCAAAATCGAAGTTTCTCCTCTATACTAAATAAGCCAATTTACCAATCTTACAATACGAAATCAAAAGGGAACAAAAATTCTTTAAGCATTAAAAGGAAGAAAAAAAAAAGACCGGAGTACTGTTTCTCGAAGTCCTCCATATTTATCATCTTCGATCTCTCCGGTCTTGTCTCAGAAAACCGTCTATGCTCGTGATGCGTCCTTGGCTGCCATCCACGTCCCCACCACGTGATCGCAAAACCCCGTCGCCGGTGACTTCTCCGCCGCAACCGCCATCACCGACTGCTTTTCCACGTCATCTTCATCGTCTTCTCCTTCTTCGATTCTTGGCATTTTCGAGACCCCAGTATTTTGAATGTCGGACTTCACGTTTTCAAGAATCTCTTGCTGGGTTTCGCTGTTTTCTTTGTGCTTGCCCCATAGCACGGTGGAGAGTCCCGCCATTAACAGCACCATTCCAAGAGCCCTAAAAAAATATCCGGTACAAGAAATGAGTTTGGTTCCGGTTTAGACAATGAACCGGTTAAAACCGGACTGGAATGGTTAAAGTACATTGGTCGGAACCTTAGCTCGTAGACCAACTCGAAACCTCTATTGATAAACCAGAAAGGGTGTCATCGTGTTCGTGTTACAAAAACTGAAGAAAAACCGGTTTAGAACACCATACCAAACCTAAAGATTGTTTTTTCTTGGTCAAGGACCAGGAACCGAACCGACGGTTTAGCGAAAACTAGAACCGAAGTAATTGGTAATTGGTTACGTACCCGCCAAGGTAGGTTCTGTAGCCGAGGATGAAGGAGCCCAAGACGGAGACGATGATGACCACAAGAGGGTTAAATGCAGTGACAAAAACAGGTCCCTTCCGCTGCGTCATCATCCCTTGAACGTAGTACGCTATGCCCGATGACACAATACCCTGTTTTCGTCCAAGATTCACTCCCAATAAGCATACAACAATATATATATATATATACATATATAATGATTGGATCGCAAGTATTCTTCTTTTAGAGTTGGAAAGAGGGCGTACGGCGTATGCAGAGGCGAGAAAGCTCATGTCGAATCCGATGTTCCACGCCGACTGATTGCGTTCCATTAGAAAAGTCACGGCCGCGGAATTTAAAGTTCCCAAGAAACACACCATAGCCGACAGTGACATGTGAGCTGAGTACCTCTTCAACGTCGCAGTCTGCGTTGTCAAAAAAGAAAAAAAAGACGACGATCCCGCATTAGGTTCCCGCACGCTATCGTTATGATTAGGTTAATAGATAAAGAAATGGAAGAAGATATGAGAGATGGTAACCTGAAGAATGAAGAAGCACGCCCAAGAGAGAGAGGCGAGGACGAGGAAGACGGAGGCCCTGAGCCAGTCGCCGGCGGAGGCGGTGACGGTGGCCAGCGCCGGCGGTGGATGAGAGGTAAAAAAGATGATTAAAGGGCCTTTGTACAATACCATCACCACGCCTCCAACCACTGTTACCACCGTCCCCACCACTTTTGCTTTGCATCTTACTTTCTTCATCTCCACCTTCTCCATCCTTTTTTCAAATCCACATTTTTCCAAAATAAATGAAAAAGTCACATCCACCATATATATGCCTTTGTATGGCTGTATGTATGTATAACAAATATATATATATATATATATATACACACCCTATATATGCGGATGATATGCGAAAATTGCACAAATGAATCGGTCATTCTATATGTATAGGTGGGTATTTGATGTATGTGTACCTGAACAAAATGGCGAGGATGAAGGTCACCGCCGGTAAGATATTGTTCACGGCGGAGGAGAACGTAGGCGACGTGAGTTTTAGACCGGCGTAGTACAAGTTCTGATCAATCACTGGCCTGAATAACGTACAACATTTTCACCAACCCATTAATTAGTTCATAATCTTCATATTATCATACAAAAATATATATATATATATATATACACACATGCAAATGTGAACACCAAACCAACTTCATAACAGGTCTAAGGACTAACCCGAGAAGACTAAGGGCGAAAATTTGCATGAAGATCGGAAACGTCAACTTCGGTCTCACCTTCCTACCAAAAACAAAGGAGAGGAGGTCAAGAAACACATAAAGGGACAGGAATTGGGACACGTGATTCGTTACCGGACCGATCTTTCTGAGATCAAAGAAAATTAGAGCCGAACCTTTCGGAGAGAATGGCGAAGGGAGCTAAAGCGGCGGTGGCGAAGGCGTTACGGTAGACGACGAGGACGTAATGGCTCATGCCACGGTCGAGCACGACCTTCGTGATGAGGTTCATGCCCGCGTACCCGAACTGAAGACACACCATGGCGAAGTAGGGCTTGACCGATTCCGACATCATCATTTCCACCATGTTGAATTCTATTTCTTTTTTTTTTTTTTTTGTTTTTTGTTGTTGTTGGGATGTAATCAAAGAACAAATCTTGGGGATAACTAATTAGTTGACGAGATATATATAAAAGTTAGGATTTAGAGAGAGAGAGAGAGAGAGAGAGAGAGAGAGAGAGAGAGAGAGGAAAAACACTTGGGGTTTGTGTTTCCTAAGGACAAAGTGAAGACATGTTCTTGTATTTATAGCATATAATCTTTTGTTTTTTTTTCATAAAATTTATGGGTTCGTGACGTAGGCTTTAATGATTCCCGTTCGAATCTTGATAAGAATATTATGTCATGCAATTAATATCTAAATTATGTGGATATCATATTCGCCGTACTTAATATCATTCACATATTCTGATCGAAACCAGACAGAAAATATGTTGTTTGGGTCTTTACATCCATATTCTATTATCCATATCATATATGATATCGTCGGATATGTAATTCGAGAGAACATATTCGACATTCTAAAATTCTTATATTTTGTTATTATCCATGTATTATGTATAATATACATAAATATATAACCCATTTCTTTTAATATCTAGTATATATTTTCGTGGATTTTTTTAAAATTTTTCATGATGGTTTCGATCGGTTATTAATTACATCCATTTTGGTTTGAGGAAAAAAAATAAACATAAGAATTAACAGAGGAAAAAATAAAAGCTGAAGATTGAGAGTGAAACAACATAAATATTGTCAAAAGAAAAATAATTAATTTGTATACGGACAGTCTTTTTTTATTAATACCACTCACATTAAAACCAAAAGAAAGAAAAATAAATAATTAATGGAGAGGAAAGAGGGATATTATCCCCGGATTTGGCATCTTAGGCTTTCTACCAAAGCAAGCACGTAATAAGTGGACGGAGTGAATTACACGTGGCAGCAATCAAGTGGAGTCCAGCTGACGTGGGTGGGGCCCGCATACTAAAGGATCCATCATCCTTCTTCTTCATCTTATTTTATTATTTAAATTCTGTAACTAAATATGGATACGTATATTATGTATGTATTTTCGTGTGTTGCAAATGCAGATCGTGAGTCGTCTTAGGGTCCATATGTGTGATGATGATGATGATGATGATGATGATGCAATCAAATGGATGTGGAATAGATAGATCGAAGAGTCCTTCCCCAACCCCACCACGGTGCGTGAGTCCCACGCGCCACCGCTTGGCCTATCCGACCCTCCCCTAAGAATATATGTTATTCCAACTGTAGGGGTGATTATATAGGTTTTTGCGTTTATCATTAAAAATCTGTGTGAAATATGTCAGAATGATGGTAAATGAAATCCCGAAGACAACGAATGAGGTTGCGTGTATGTGTAAAGGATTGTTGTATATATTTTGCACATAATTGAATAATAATAATGAAAAATGGTATATAAATATATGTATATATAAATATTCAAACTATAAAATTTTTATATAAATATCTAAACTTTTTAAAGTCTTATAAAAATACCTAATTTTTTTTTAAAAAATCAACTAAAGTAAATCGTAAATCCATTAAATACGTTGATTACTCTTATTTGAAAAATATTTGATTTTAAGTTTATTTAGAAATTTTTTTAAAATCTAGGTATTTCTATAGAATTTTTGAAAAATTCAGTTATTTATAATAAAAATTTTATATTTTAAGTATTTATCTGAATTTTTTTGTAAAAGTTTAGGTATTTACATAACAAATTTTTTAGAGAAAATAACGTATAAATACCTGAACTTTTACAAAAATCTCATGTAAATAACTGAACTATAAAACTTCTATATAAATACATAAACTTTTTAAAATGCTATATAAATATCTAGATTTTAAAAAAAATTCCAAATAAATACAAATTTTAGGTATTTTTCAAATAAAAATAGATGATATTATTAACGTATTTTGGATTTATTTGGGAGTTTTTCAGAAGTGTAAGTATTTATATGAAAATTTTATAGTTCAAATATTTATATGAGATTTTTGTAAAAATTCAGGTATTTATATACGATTTTTCTATATTTATAATAATAATAATAATACAAACGAACAAACAAATAAATGAGGAAAGCTATACAGGCCAATGGATATTTTTTTCTTTCTTTTGTCCCTAACTGCACTATTTATGTTGCAAAAGCTTCATTTCAGTTTCATAATTTGGTTGGCATCCATTATCTTACATATAATATGCATCTGCTTTACAAAGTTGGGGAAGGTTTAATTACGTGCCTCATCTCTTAATTTTATTTGTTATATATACAAATTCATGTATATATTATTAATTTATTATGCCTTTGGGATCGAAATTATTTATATGATTATAATTTAAAAATCTTGTACGTGTGAGAATGTACGTCTGTTAATTATCATATTTTTATTACCACACATTTTCTAAATCAAACTAATAATGGATTGATAAACTTTAACGAGTCACATATATACCTAATTGGAATTAATTAATGCATGCAGCACAACCACATATATATTCCAATATCTATGTACGTTGACAAATATATTCTAATTTTCCATCATCCAAAAGGGATGTTAAGAAACCAAAAATATACATTGGAATATCATTTCATTATCATAGAATTCGTTCTATAATCTTGAAAATAGCTAATAATAAAGCCATATATACTTTAAAAGAGATTCAAACAAGGGAATGGACACATTCATGTGTCCATGAACATTACAGGCCACATGTTTTTTCTTGATTATTGTATGGTAAAAATGTTATACACGCGAAAAACATACATGTGATATATATGGATTATGATTAGAGTTGTATGAAATGAATCATTAGAAACTTGGTATTGGTTGATATGGGGGACCAAACGTGGGTGGGTATATGGTACTCAAAAGGGATATATGACAATAGAAAAAAAAAAAAAAAGAAGAGGCAAACATGGACAAATGGGCATCTAATCACCTCCCAACCTATTTAAATATTTGGACCGACAATTTGCTGCTCTTCATCTTTTATGCAACCATCTTTGGTCTCGTCCTCTCTCCCTACGATTATTGCTATCGTTTTTTCCCTAGTGGTATGTGTGTGTGTGTATATATATATATATTGTATGTAGGGTTCAATCTTGGAAATTGCATATACGTCCACTTGCTCCAATGATTTTGAATGCAAGTGTTACGGTGCTTGTTGTATGGCCCATTTGTAAATTATTGGCTCACATCACTCATAACATTGTTGCTGTCGTAAAACCTCTAAAAAAACCTCTAACTTGTAAAAATATATACAAATAAATCTTGAACTTGAAAAACTATCATTCAATCCCTAAACTTGTAACTTGTCACTGAATGAAACATCGAACTTGCAAATTATTGCTCTAATAAACCTTTGACCGGTTTGACAATAATTTCAGACGATCGGAAATCAATTTTAGTTTAAAAAAAAAAGAAATCAAATAAAAAACGCACTAATATAAATTATAGAATAACTCCTCATAGTTCGTAATTGATTCAACCTTTTTTTTTAATTCATTTTGAAATCTTTTTGCATATCGAATTTTGATTTTATCTGTATTTTGTTTGATTTTTATTTTATAAAAAGTAATGTTTTAAAAGAGATTTTTATTTTTAATTTACTTTTTATTATTTCAATTTAAACTCAGTAAATTTTATTTAAAAACCTAATCAATCAATTTTAAAATGTTATCAGATACTATTTAACTCGATTAAATTATATTTTATAAGATAAATATCCACGCATCTTAATTGAATCAAGCTGGTGTTAGGGCAACCTATGTAAGAATAAAAACAGCTCAATGATTTTATCTGTGGTGTCAAAATCTCCTAAAACTGTACGATAAGGACTTTTAGAAAAAAGAAAAGAAAATTGGAAAATAAAATAAACAAAATAAAAAAAAAATGAAAAGATTAAAAAAAAAAAAAAAGGAAAGGCTAAGATTCCCCTCCCCTTGAAAAGTTGGGGGGAAATGAAGAAAATATGATATTACAGAGAATTAAAAGGTAGTGAATGAGTGAATGGGCTCTGTGTTGCGTCTGCTTCTCTCTCTCCCCTCTTTTGTCTCTTCCTCTCAGGTGATGTTGGGTTTTGTTTTGTTTTTTTTTAATTTATAATTTCTACATTTTCAGATATACATATATGTATGTATTTTCCTCAATGATATACGTATCTTTCCTTACTGTATTTTTTTTTAATTAAAAATTGAAAACTGTGACACTAGGAGGTGCATGTAAGGAAAATGCAATATATAATGATAAAGTTTATAGTGTTATAGTCTCTCTATAATTCTATAAATTATATATATATATATATAAGCGTACCCAAACTTTTAATAATATCGTTATTACCTCTCTAACAAATTTTACATGGTGTGCTTTAATAACACTCGGGTACCATATATATATATATATATATATATATATATATGGTGCAATTAAAAAATAGGTCTGCTTTTTAATGAATTGGCTTAGTAGAGAATTATTGAAAAATAAAATACATAAAATAAATATGACAAATAGAAATGAACAAAATTAATTTTATTACTATATCTATTCTTTTTATTATTATATTACAATAAAAATGAATATATTTATAGAGAAATTAAGAAACGAAATAAAAAAGAAATATAGATTCAATGGAAATAAATCAGATATACAATATTTGACATAATAATATTGTATCAATTATTATTCCCCATCAAATTTTAAAATCTTATTTTACTCTCATCACATATTCATTTTCCTATTTTAACATTGTCTCTCAAGTTTGACTTTAAAAGAATGGAAAAAGTCAGTCTTGAATTGATAATGTTATAAACTACCCAGACATTTTTATTGTCTCTGGAAAAATTAATAAACACCAAATTTTTTTCTTTTAGAGAGAATTAACCATTTTCAAATCACTTCGTTTGACTTTAAAGAACATTAACTCACTACAAAAAAAACCCCTAATATCAACGGATTTTTCCGTTGAAATAGCCCAAATATCCGTTGAAAATCAACATTTTCAACGGAATTTTTAACGGACGTCACCCGTTGCAATACGGTCGTTGAAATCCAGAATCTGTTACCAACCGTTGAAAATGTCAACGGATTATCAACGATAAAAGTCCGTTGATAATAACAACGGCAGGGCAACGGAATAATCCGTTGATATATGTCAACGTATTTTGCAA